TTTTGATGGTGAGGTAGTGGGGGCTGATGTTTTGTTTTGAGATTGGGAAAAGGAGGTATTAGTGGATTTATAGCTAAGAAAACTACAGTGTTTGAGCTTTGATTGCCACCCTTTAGCTTTTCCTCATTTCTGGATTATTTGAAAACAGAAATGTAATAAAGTGATTTGGCCAATTCAGTGGTTTGGATTCTGTTAGATGCATCAAAAAATGGTTTGCCAAATTTGAGACAGGTTATTGCATAGTTTTACTTTTGACTGAGAGTGTTTGGGACCATTTACCTTTTAAGTGTTCCATAGAAAACTAACTTGTTTATCTGACAAATGAGGTTTTAGACCTGAAATATAAACAGCTGATGATCATGCAAAAGCTTAATTTGTTTTGTGCAATGTGCAAAACAGGGAAGCTTACTTTGTTTCTTATACTTTTAAAAAACAGTTGAAATTCTCGATCTCTATTTTCTCCAACTAACATTATTTTGGAAACCGTTAAGATAGCAGGTGATTCGTGAAGTAACCTATCACTTCGTTTAAATTTACGGAGATAGATTCCGCGTCAGCAACATATTAACGTTCACGCCCGCAAATATTTTTTTACCGTCTTCCCTTTATCCGAGTAGGTCATCATCTTCTCCATCTTCTTCGGCCCCAACACAGTGTGTAAACCGATAAATTTAAAAAAGATAATAAGTCACTTGACACGTTACTTATTACCTCGGAGATTTTCAAAAGATATTAAATTTGCTATCATTGTTTAGCCCTAAAGTATTGTTAGCTAAAATTGTTTTCAGTTTCTTGATATATTTAGCCATGTTTGTATATTTATATCAACATATTTATACATCCTCTTACTTTGTCAATCATTTTAGACTAATGAGATAGTTATAATTTATTTATCATTAACATGTAATAATTATCCAATTTGATTTTAATTCTTTGTTATTCTTTTATGTTACATAGATTAATCGAGCTTCTCTTCTATAAATATATTTTTTCACTTGTATCATATATGTCATTACATAGAGATATTCACTCTCCATAGGTGGGAATTTTTAGAATTTCATGACCATCAGTACTACGTAATGCATATATATATATATATATGGTATATCTTACTCAAAAAATATGTATTGTGTATAAGTATTTGTTCATGGAATTCATTGAACAAATATTTATGTTGCAATTAATTTTATATTGTTATTCAAACTAATATTTTAGCCATTGTTATGATATTCTTCATATGTAAGTAAATGTTGGGTGTACCATCTTTGTCAATTACGTATTTTCACGGCACATAATGAAAATTACACACACATATTATATATATATATATATATATATACGTAGTAGTGTTCTTTTTATTTTATTTTTCGATTTAAAAATTGCTAGATTCACATATAATGTACCTCAGTTACATCACTTCGTCTAATATATACATATGTAATTTTTTACAGATTAGTTATTGACAAGTCTTCTAATTTACACCATATTATTTAATTATAATTAAAATATACAACTACACACATATATATAATATATATATATATTTATTACCGACTAATTAAGAAGCTTCATTGAAAAGCAAGTTTGGCTTTTTCTTAAATCAGTCAAATCAGTTTATAAACTGCTTTGACTGTAAAAAATTTATTTAAAAGTCCAGTATATATGACTTCTGACCGATATATATATATATATATATATATACACACAAATATATAAAGCTTACTAATTTTATCAGCTGTAATTTTTACAAAATTAAATAACCTTAGAATTATAAAATGATAAGATTTTGTTCTTATCGATATCTTTATTCAATTTACTAACTTTTCAATCGATGGTTGAACACTTTATTATATACATATCAGAGCCGCCATACATATAATATATATGTATACGTCTGGCCGGGGGTTGTTCCTTTATGTTTTTTCTCAGTTTTTTCGCAACAATGCTAATCTTGAAAAGGATACCATATATTGACATATATATATGTATATATGTATGTACTTACAGAACTGTAGAAGGATCAGAGGAGCAATATATTAATAGGTACAGAACTGTAGAAGGTGAATAATTAGGGTATAAGAAAGACCATATGCATTTTAGTTAGAAATATTGAGATTAATTAATAAAGACTAATGAGGAGAGAGTTGTATATATATATATATATATATATACATACACATATATGATTATGTGTACTTACATATATATAACTATCTAAATATTGGGGAAACTTATTTGAATCTTCTGCAGTGGTTTTGGAACCGGTCTCCGGAATTCACGTGGTTTTGATTACGAACACACGGATATATATTATTATATATGCATATATAATAAGCAAGGACCACTGAGCCTCATATGTACACGCACACACACATATATATATATATATCCATCTATATATACTTAATGGCACCCAGTTCTTGTGTCGTGTGTTGAGAAGAAACCTCCTCTACTTCTGCTGTCTGCTCTTCCTTCTATCTCTCGACAGACACACACACGCACATACATATATAATTCTGTTCATCCTTGCGGTCTGCATATATATTATACATATACCCGTGTCAGGTATATATAAGATCTTAATCACAACATGAAGGTAACTACCCTCGTTTTGCTTAATAAATTTTCGTTAATTCTTCTTCTAACTTCTTTCTTAATTTCGTATATTATCATATATATGTGTGAATCAAGCATATATGTATACCTACCAACCAATATCATACATTAATATATACTTGGTGTACATATATATATATATATATAATAATAATCAAATTTTTATCATGAATTATTTCAGCAAAAGATAGTGATGAAGGTTACAATGAACTGCCAAAAATGCAGAGCTGAAGCCATGAAAGTTGCTGCCAAAACAGACGGTAAAACTTGATTAATATATAACCATCTCAAACCCATATACTTACGTAATGATATATATATATATACATATACGTATATAGATGTCCATTTATATATGGGTAATTATTGCAGGTGTGACATCCGTGGCAATAGAGGGTCCGGATAAAGACAAGATGGTGGTGGTGGGAGATGATATTGATACGGCGTCGTTGAGTCTTGCCCTGAAGAAAAAATTAGGTCACTCCGTCATCCTCACCGTGGAAGAAGTAAAACCAAAGCCTCCTGAAAAGAAACCAGAAGAAATTATTAAGGCACTTTACGAATATTGGCCTCCACCTCCATATCGTCCCTGTCCAATCTACTGTTCTGAAATTTACAGTGAACCTCAGCAATCAAATTGCTCTTTGATGTGATGTATATATATAATTATAATTATAGCTATAACTATAATTTCATGTAATAATAATAATATTTATCGTTTTAAACTATTTATTACCTAATATTTTTAATTCATCGTAATTTGGATCAATTATATTGTTTGTACCCTCATGTTTCTTAATTTCCAAGCATATTCCTTCTTATTTCTAATTTATATATTTAAGTTTATATACTGGTTAATTTGTATTATAAGTGCTGCCTTGTGTGGGTTTAATTTGTAACTAATTAAGTTGACTCTTTCTTAATTTAAAAAACCAATTACGTATGTGTGTGTACAATAATATATCTATACATACATATCACATGCAAAGTTGACCTTAATCTTGTATATTGCAAAGGTCAATCTTCAATTATTGCTAATTCATTTGTTAATTAGACTAATTAAATATTAAAGTTTGATTTAACTAGATAATAATAAATAAAAAAATTCAAAGTCTCCAATAAATTTTCTTCCATCAAGACTAAATATATTAGACTATAAAATTATTTTTACAATACTAACTATATGTAATAAAAATAATATAATAGACATTCTCGTATCAGTTTAAAATTTATGAAAAATTTAATTTAATTTTTAATACGATCGGAACTAATAGTGTTAGAATTCTAATTTCGAGAATCTCATTATCGTTTTTTTAATTTTATATACAAGTAGATATAATTTAAATGTTATATACATATATATATATATATCTATATCTATATATGTATATAGATTACTCCTATCAAGCTCGGTTTGATTCATGTTTTAGCATCAAGCAAATTCAAACTTTGGAACTTAATTCCAAGCAAGTCCAAAGCTTGAAGGCGATTAAGAAGGTCAATATAAAAAATATGCTTTATATCGTTATAATTACTATTACATGCATGCTAAGAATATTAAATTTTGTAAAATTATATGTATATATAGGATATTAATTTTAGTTTTATTTTTGGTTTTTACTAATTTTTTTTTCTTATATTTCCTTTAAATTATAGTCTTCAATTTCTAAAACCTCCATATTTAGAATTTAATTTTTTGATCATATTTTTAAATAAATAATAAATAAATCATATATATGACTATATACTAATAATGGATTATTAGGTTAAGTTTACATATGGTAAGTCAAGCTGCTCAAGTGGATGGGGGATTCTAAATTTAGCCACTAATTAATCGGTGAATTAATTAGTATCCAATAGCATTTAACTAGGATATATGTATGTATATACATATATAAGGATGCTATATATTAGTTGGGGGCATTAATATTTAAAGATCCAATTATTTTCCAAAAATTATAAGTTAATGGTTCTTATAATAATATTCAGAGCTCGTATAGTATATCATATATATGTATATATCATATAAATATAGAAAAGTCATATATATATTTAAAAAAGTTATGAATAATCGATTGAAATTAAATAAGCTAAGAAAGTGACAATTCTATAGTACTACCTAGACGTATTAACTCTTATTAAATTCAACTATTTATTTTGTTGATATTTGTATATATTTCGTTACTATTAATTATGATTATATATTTGTTAATATCGATTTCAAATATGCTGTATCGATCGATTGATAATATCTATAAGGCCAGCGATGAAGATTTTTGTTGAGAATATGATTGTTTGTGGTATAACTTTTATTTAACGAAATTGATTAGATTGAGTAATTCACTGAGTTTTTAAAATATTCTCAATAAGTTTACGAATTTTTAATTCGGATTTGATCATATAAAAATATATATTTTTCTCTAAATTAGAATCCCTCCAAATCGGGCACAACTAAAACGAATAACATGTAAGGTAATAGTGGCTTGTTTCTCATAATAAGCATGTGTAGTCGTGAACAATTTGATCCCTGCCTTCTCCAGCTCTCTGTTTTGCCGGAAAGAAAAGAGAAGACTTCTTTTCGAGTCTCCCTTAGCCGTTGTCACAATTTGATTCTAGAAATTAGAAACCATTCGCATTTCTCCTTTGTTTTCTTATTTTTCTCCTAGTAAAACGACTTTTTATCGTGTCCTTTCTTGTTGCTTCCTTGCCTCATCTTTGGCTTATCATCGATCATCTGTTCTTATCTACTTCTAACTATTCGAAATAAACTTGTTATCTTTCAAATTAATTCTCTTAAAATAAAACGAGATTAAAAATGATTGAGATGACGTCCACGTAGTATCGACATGTACACTCAATCAGCAGCTTCAGAACTAAAATACACGTGGCTTGTTATATCTCGTGACACGTTATGATGTTGGAAAAAACTTAAAGAAGATGGAAAATTTTGAAGAAAAAAAAAAAATACTTCACACACGAATAATTTTGAATATTTTTGTATAATTTAGAGGAGATTTTAGTATTTTAACCAATATATTTCTTCCTCTAATAATACTATTTTTTTTAATTAAAAAATTATCACTCTATAGTTAATTAATTCTTGTAAACTTTTAAAAATCTTAATCAATAATCATTAGCGTGTCCTCCAAATTGCTTAGCCACCTTGTCAAGATTCCAAATCTTGAAATGCAACTATATATATATTTATATAAGTACATCGATGATTCATTATATTATTATAGTCATAATAATTATATATTGATCATATACTATTCCTACTTGACTAATGTACACAGTAGTTGAGGATAACAATTATGAGAGTAATCATGATGATGATTAATGTGATTATTATTCTTAATTAGATCATTGCTTAAATCACGACTTCAAGTCCGAAGATTTTAAAAGCTAAGACTAATTCAAATATTGTACGGAACACAATATATAAATATATATATATATACACACATATATATATTTAAATCATCCACATCAAAAGTTTCTTCTGCATGACGATGATAATTATGTTAATATAATTGCAAATTAAGCAAAAAAAAAATTCCGACAGTTATCATTAGAAAAATAAAAAATTAATTATCATAATTAATCAGCAATCGAGACCCTAATTCCATAATAAGCATATATACATATATATATATATGTATAATTTAGTACTTCCATGGTCGTACAAATTAAAGAATATAGATATCATAATTTAATTCCAAAATATATTAACTATAGTAAATTTTGTGAATAATATACAATATATATATATATACTTATGATTGAAATCATAATTCACAAAAATTGATTTCAAATATTAATAAATTTCGTTTACTTACCAATGAACAATTCATTATTGGAGTTATATATATATATTTATATTGATTTGATTGAGTCTTCAATATATATTATATAAATTTCCAAATGACTTGGACTTAGATCATTTAAATTTCCAAATCACCATTTGTCAAATTGCTACATATGTTTATTATTATATTTTGAAAAGGACTAAGATTCTTAATGATTAATTAATTTTTATTTGAATCCTCAATAAACTACTACCTGTTTGTTTGGTAGGTGCGAACTCAATCTGTTTGTTTGCATGTGTATATATACATAAATATATATATATATATATATATACACACACACACACACACATTTATTGAAGTTTATCTCACTGTTTAAAGAAATTAGTCTAGGCTAATTTAGTTGAAATGTTGTAATCATTGTCTAAACTTATTCCTTTGTAAAATCTTTTAAAAGAAGTATATTATACTCCTCTAATCATATGCGACCCATTGAATGCATGATGTGGAAGGAAAAAGTTAGTTCCTACGAAACTCGACAAATGATTAATGGTTAGTTACCTGATATTGACTATTTTCATTATTGATATTGTAGATTTGAAATGTAAAATTAGCATTATTTCTACGATGAAAGTCCTGAAACGATTGAATGTATCTTTATTTGGTGCATGAAGGTTTAGAAGGTTAGGGGTAGATGTCTCGGATGGTGGAACATCATGTGGATCAATCTTGGTTTCTTGATAACCTTATTAACGTTTTGGTATACCGTTGACGAGAAAACTTCCCCAAAGAAAATCATGGAGGTGCTATTTTTTGTTGTCACATGGTATTTGTAGCTTGCTAAAAATAAGATACTTTTATAGAACAAAAATATTATTAAAACGAATATCAGTAACCTTACTAAAGTCATATTAGTATGGTGGGTAAGGTATTTGAATAAAAAATTTACTTCAGTATTCGATAAATGGTCTTATCTCCTTATATGTAACACCCCAAGTGTATTATTATTTTTTTAATTTATTTTATTTTGTAATTATTGGAATTTTATTTGATTTTTAATTTAATTTAATAAAAATAAAAATAATAATAATGATAAAATTGGGTAAAAATATTATTAGGAATTAATTGAAATTGATTTTCGGAAAAAAGGGTGAAAATTTAGATTCTGGGGGTGTTTTTGAAAAGAAAATCGAAAACCGATGGTCAAAACACAATTTAGAAAAGTTGTACCACGTCAGCAGTCACGTCAGCGGCCTGGTTAGCAGCCCCGGCCAACCAGGACGCGCCGCGTGGCAAGGAAACGCTGATCAGGGGACGAGTCACGTGGGCGATCCGCGTGCGCGCGATCGGACGGCCCAGATCCGTTCCCGCCCGCACGGACGGCCCAGATTTAATCCCAATTAAATCGCGATCGAACGGTCCAGATTTAATCTTGATGGACGGTTGAGATTAAAAGGCAAAGGGTATAAATACCCCCATCCACACCTGACCAAAGAAACCCTAGCCGCCAGTGCTCGCTGGAGAAGAAGAACCAGAAGCCGGAGGAGCCGGCCGCCGCCACTCGCCGCCGCACCGGGGAAGTTTCCGACCGTCGATCGAGGTAAATTTTCTCCCCCTTGCTCGTTTTTCGACGCTGAGTCCACCTATGGCCAAACTAGAGCCAAACCACCAACCAAATGGCTGGAAAACCCAGCCGAAATCCAACGGCGCCGCCGCGCCCCTCCTCGGTTTTTGCCTCCGATGAGGCCCTTCCCGACCTCCGTTTGATGTAAATTTTATACCACTGTGATCACCGTTCTTTTCTCTATAGGTTGATCGGAGCCAAATATCAAAACACGACTCAC